GTCCTTGTGTGTCTCTGTGTGGCCCTGCGATGGACTGGGGACTGTCCAGGGTGTACCCCGCCTCTCCCCTATTGACCACTGGGATAGGCTCCAGTCCTAAAAATCTTTTCTTAACTTCACTTTTCTTTAACCACACCAGAGTGGAAGTTGACAGGGCTCGGTATGTGCGGTATTGGCCGTTATCGCCGGATCGGTTTTGAACGGGGAGCCGGGTAGTTCAGTTTTAACTGGATGGAGGTCTTGTCTCTGCTTGTCCGGAGTTGAAACATTTGAGGGGCCGGAGGCCATGTAGAGAGAAGGATGCATGGAGGTGTGTGTGGGCGACAGGCCTCCAATTCGTGCGTTCCCGGTAATTGGAACCCTGGTCAGGAATGATGGGGGTCTGAAGTGCGTGGGGCTGATTGGAGAGTGATCTTTTCATAGCCCAGGATTTGGGGAGAAAGACGGCTGCTGTGCGGGATATTTGTGTTGTCCCGGGTCATAGATGAATGTTGATGAATGCCTGGAAAAAAAATCACAACAGGAAATCTAAAGAAGATTCACTGATAGGCGGCTACTGTCGAGGTTTGCTGATCACAGTTTGAGATGGGGGAATGATCCAGATATAGGGCCGAGGAGGGGGAAACCGGGACGAAGTACTCAGGGGGGAAAAAACATTTATTAACAAAAAACGCAGTACTTGCTGGAAGATGAACACTAAACTGGGAAAAAAAGCCCAAACAAAACCTGGAGATACAAAACCAAGAAACCAGACAAAACACAAAACATAACACAAACAATGCGAGGTGAGTACGGTTGAAGGTTGGCGTTCAACAGTTGGCGAAGTACAGACAAGATCCAGTTGACAGGGAACAATGATCTGGCACAAGACAAGGGGACTGGTGACACATGAGGAAGAGCAAGAGATCTGAAACGATAAGAGAGTTAGTTCTCTAAAATGAAAAGGAAATTATTAGAACAAGACATGACAAAACCAAACCATAAACCTGCAGGCACGACAGCTACTGTAGACCTCAAAGACCATGTATAAGCTTTAAGAAATAATTGAAAAAAGATTAAACATTTACATGGATAATTATGTTTTGTGTACCCTATTTTGAAATTGTAGAAAATATATTTTTTGCTTGACTTTATAAACATATTCTTTATCTTAGAAAAAACTCTGAGTATTGTAACCAACTATTTTTTCAACAGCTCTAACTGTAAAATGGTGGGGTTCTTTTTGTATAGTTTCTGGTATGTTCTTGATTAGGATTGGGGTCCATTAGTTTCCTCTTTTGTTTGGATGTCCGTTTCCTGTGTCTTCCTGTGTCTTGATGGCAACTCTTCTTACTAAATGTTATAATGCCTCTGTTCCGGTTCCCCTGTCAGCCTCCAATATTTTTGTGTCACTTTTCCAGGTGAGTTTCTTGGTTTTCATCTGTCTTGTGTTTGGGCTTTCTCGAAGTTTTAGTTTCAGTCTTTGTATGGGCTTTCCAGTTATGGGCAGATGAGGCTTTATGAAGCACTGAAGCCTTTCATCCAATTGGTTCACTCCAGCGCAAAGCTTCTTGAAGCTTCATTTGCTCTAGTAGGACATCTACTGGACGCAAAAATACCAGCTGGCATGAAGATGAAGTGTGTGACATTTTGCAGAAAGCTTGTGAATAAAACTGTCAACATGTCTATTGTAGTTAGGGATGATGGTAGTATACCATATGGGTGTTTGATGGAGAGTATTTTGAATGGAGCCTGAGGAGGTTTATATAGATGGATATGAATTGAAAAATATATATATTTATATACAGGAAAATAACTTATTCCAAAATAAAACGTTCTCGTGGGGTTATTTCCATAACATCAGTCATTGCTTCTTACTTCTCTTCTGGCCTTTCTACAACTTAATCCCCTCAGGTTATAGTTGTTCCCCACTCATATAATCAGATGCTAAAGATCAGATAAAGAGACATGATCATAATTTTTAAGAGTGCTCACAAAACAATAACAGTTCCACAAACTGCGGCATCACAGGAACACAGTTTTTACTTAACTTTTACTTGCATGTGACATTCATCGTGGAAGAAATGGGAACAGAAGCTCAGATTAATGGATAGTCTATTTATTTCTTTTATTCATTATGCCACAAGTTTGAGGAAGCTTAATTATTACCAGTATTTTATATTTAAATGGATACAGTTTAGTATTGAGATATGCTAACAAGTTATCAGTGTGTAATATCTATCCAAACATAACAGCCTTTAACAGTATGAGTCATTTTGGTTTGGTTGATGAGTTGTACCTGGGAGAACATTTTAAATTAACTGAAAACTGAAAGTTAGCACTGTTGCCGCACAGCAAGATCATTTCTAAATTTTAATCCCAACTGAGGGACTTTCTGTGTGGACTGCACGTTCTCCCTGTGCATGTTAGGGTTCTTTTGGTTACTTTCTGCCACCATTCAGAAACAGGAAATGACCATAGGCGTGAGTGTGAGCATGCATGGTTGTCTGTTTGGTTCTTCTCTGTGCAGCCCTGTGATGTGCTGGAGACCTATCCAGGGTATAACCTGCCTCTTGCGTAATTATGATTAATAGGATTAAAGGGGCCTATCTTGTTGTGAAACTGTAGCATGTGCTATATTAAGAACCCCATCATAGTCATAGCATGTGTTCATTTACAGAATAAGAATTAAAAACACCTCACATATTTGATCAATCTTGTAAAAGATATCAAACCATCCCTTACAATTATAAAAATTCAAAATTTGTAAGATGAAATTTTCTTTTTTTTTTATTTCGACCATGGTAAACCTTGCATAACTGGTCATTGGACAACATCATTTTAGCTTACTAGCTTACAATTACAACTACCATGGTTTATTCTGTGGTCAAACTAAGCTGATTTTGTCTGACCAACAGGGGTATTAGCTTGTTGTCAATCTCTCACGTGTCCTGATCTCGTTACCTTACTTAGTATTGCAGGGAAGAGAGGTCCATACGCAATGCAGATTATGGTCTGTTGTTAGTTATCGTTTATGCAATGTACCTGTTTTTCATCGGAATTCATTTTAATAAGGAGCTTGCCACACAAAAGAAACGGTTTTATGCAGGTTTTCTGCCCCCGCTGGAGAGGACGTTTACTTTCAAACAAGCTGCTTTCCAGAAGAATCTTCCAAGGGCAAGGATATAAAGGTATTACAAGTGAGCACGGTAGTTTAGATGATGTAACTACATAACTCACAACATCACATTTAAATGCTCTGAAAACCCATATGCACACATGCTATAGTTTTTCTACATTTCTTGGACCATACCAATGTAGTTATCTGTCAGTCAGCATTCAAAGGACAGGTAAAATAACAATTTATGAAAGTAATGCAAAGCATTGATTTTCTTAAAAACAGAATAAGCAAAAGATAACCAGAAAAGGCAGACATTATCTTGTCAGTTGGGAGGCCACAAATTGGACAAGGTATGGCATTTTGCCTTAGTCTGAATATTGACATCTTTCTCTGTATGTCCAGTTCTGGCTCTGGATTTTTTTTAACTTGATTTGTTTGGTTTCTGTAACCCTGTTCCCAGAACATAACGTCTTTACAGTTACATTTCCATTTATGCATTCAGCAGATGTTATTCAAAGAGCCTTGGAAGCATTCAATAGAATGCAAAAACATTTATGATGATAACAATTGCAGATGGCAATGTTTCATGTCTTTGTATTAAATATTTTCTGCCTTACAATATTTCCTTTACTGGCCATCACACTTAAAAAAAATGTATGTATGTATGTATGTATGTATGTATGTATGTATGTATGTATG